AGTACACAATGTGGAGGGCTAAAAAGCCTCACCAAGTATTAACACTGAGTTAACATCAGCCAACTCTACGCATCCCTCTCTCTGCTCAGTAGCAAGTCATTTGAGTACAAGTTGTGAGTTCTTTCTGAGCTGTTAGCTTTGGCAAGGAGGGAAGCAATCATCGAAAATGGCATCGACAACCATCAATGATACGGTTCAACGGAACATGGTTCTCCCAGGGGCAGAAGCCTATACAGAAATAGTAACATGAAATAAGTAAGCTATTGTAAGAAAAATTGATCACAGGGAGAAGTATACCTGTTATTACTAGTCTGAAATAAAGAAACTCTATAATAATGAAAAGGTTATGATGGATATGCACCGTCAGTGGCAGAGCCAGAAACTTTAGCTTTAAATCTTTAAATTTGTAAATGGCCCCTCAAATCCTCGAAATCTCTGTTAAGTCCCTCAATCTTTAAGTTATTCCAGAATTAGTCCCTCAAATCACTGAAATTGAAAGTAGATCCCCGAATTATCATGATTAATTTGGAACAACCCATGAGAATAAGGAGACCTAATAGCAATTTCAACGATTTGAGGGACAGAATTTAAAATAACTTATGAATTTTTGGGACATGGTAGCAATTTCAACGATTTGAGGGACAGAATTTAAAATAACTTATGAATTTTTGGGACATGGTAGCAATTTCAATGATTGGACGAGTAATGTCAATACAGTAAAGATTTAAGGGACTAATATGGGCAAATTCCACAAGAATAACATCTTTCTTTCTTTCTTTCTTTTTCCTTTTTTTTCTTTTACCATCAACGTAGTTGTGCCTCTGTGCACCTCATTTAGCTTAAATGAGCTACTGGGAAATAAAAGTGGTGGGATCCATATACTCTGGTAGTCTGGTGTGACCACCGGAAATAGGCTTTATCACATGTCCGTCTTTTCGTAGTTCATTTATTATATCAAAATGAGTTGCCATCTCATACTTCATTATTTCCTAATAAAAATGATGCATAACAGGAGTCCATTTAAAGAGTAAAAAAAAAGTAAGAGGATTAGATATAGTGTATCAGTGCTCGATAGAAGCCGTTAAGTATTTCACCTGAGTATAAAATTTTAAGATAAGCAGTCGTAATCTCTCTCTAAACTTTATACTCAGGTGAAATACTTAACGGCTTCTATCGAAATGCTTATCGAAATGCTCTCTCTTATGGAGAGGTTAATGAAAAATTGGCTAAGTGATTTTTTTTTTCATAAGAGAATAAAAAAGAGAGCTCTGCCTCTTACTAAACTCTAACAATCTTTGAGTAAGAGGAAGTAGTATGATTTTAAAGTACCCCGGGGTGGATATCTTGCCTTGTGTCTCAAGAAGACTCTGATTTTATCAAGCTCACTTGAAGACTTAGTGGTTTACAACAACAAGGAGAACGAGCTAGGGGTTGTTCGATCTACTATCGAATCACGCTACGAAAGTAAGCCTTCAAAACTCTTGGTTGTTCTCTTTATTATAGGGATCATGTTGGATTTAATTAGGATGGTCCTAGTTTGTATTTCATGCTCTCTACATGCTTAGTATTATTATACATACAGTCTTCCGTTGCATATTTTGCATGTAATTAGTACGAAATTCTAACAATACTAACACAAGTTCAACCAGTTTGTTGTAGTTTTCAACACGAGAAACGAGAAACAGTTAAAAAAGTGCTGTCCTTTCATTGTTTGAACAAGGAAAATATATACTTACCTATTCTAATGGAACCCTTAAGATTCATCATCATCAGAACTTGTGCTCGAGCTGTCCACCTTCCGATCTCTAATTGCTGGGAAAAGATGTTGTCTGGGGTCAGCAACCGCTGCCGGTGTCAGAGTATCCCTAGTCCTCGGTGTCATTGCCATTTTCTTCTGAGACTCTCTCACTTCTTTGCAGGCTTTATCAATCATACCAAGAAAATCCCTCACAATAATGAACAACCTTAAGCCCTCATCCCTCCCTGAATTCCCATGAAAATAGTCCGTTGTGCTCTTCACCAACGACCTGATTCTCTTTTCTTCTTCCAATAAGATGGTAACATCAACCTCAGCATGTTCAACGAAAGATTTCAGCAGCCGGAGGAACCCACTGTTTCCTCTGTGCTTTTCATATCAGTATCAATAAACTTCTTTGTCTTTACCAATTGATGACCAAGACTGGCCACTGTGTTGGTCAAGGCATCAGCATCTAGTCCAGCCGCCTTCTTGACATTCTCCAGCTCGGTGCTCAGGTGAGAAACTATCTTTAATCCAAGGCTTTGGTCATTAGAGTTTACATCTGAGTTGCTTTGGGTCTCTTTGGCTAGTCGAACAGCTCTTGCACCTTCAGATCGAATCATCTCTTGAACAACGAAGTGCAAGAGTGTAGTCTTCCCATCAATACCCTTGACATCGGAGAGCTTCAAGAGAGTATCGAGCTTAAATGCCTGAGCACCACCACGGAAAGTGCCATCATTCATTCGATTACCAAGTTTGAGAACAGCTTCTAGTAGTTTCAGGAATAGCCGGCTGCTTCTAAGCTCCTTGCATGCTACCTGAATGAATATAGTGGACATTTTTATGCTTTTGTTTCTGCCCAATAGTAGGGAAAAATAAACTCTAATTATGGGTTAGAGTATCCATTTTTTGGAAGTTTAGTATCTTGTGTTTTCTTTTTGAATATTTTATAGTAGAACTTAAATTTTTTAGTAAAATTAGGAATCTTCAGAAAGGATTTTGATGCAAACATTTTAATATTCTTATGTGAATGATTTTGTCATATAAAATTATACTAGAGTCACCAGTAATAAAGAGTGTTTGAATGATAAATGCTATAGAATCACCAATGACTCAGTACCAAAGTTAACTAATATAACTTTTTTATGACATGAACATATCATTACTGGATTTACACCTTTTAGTGACAGACATTTTCGTCGCTAAAGGTCTAAATTCCGTCCCTATAACTTTTAGCGACGGAAAAAACAAATTTCGTCGCTAAAAACTATCCCTACATTGAGGGTCCCTAATTGCATCTTTAGCGACGGAATTTTCGTCGCTAATTTTCAGCGACGAGATATTAGCGACGGTTTTTTCGTCGTCATATTTTGTAAAAAAAAATTAAAAAAAGTATTAGCGGCGGAAATTCCGTCGCTAATATAGCTTTTAGCGACGTAAATTCCTTCGCTAAAGGTTGCATTTTTTATTAAAATTCTTTTTTCGTATTCGTTTTCCGTTGCTAAATATATAAAAATCCGTCGCTAAAAATGTTATTAGGGACGGAATATCCGTCGCTAAAAGTTGTTTTTATTATTTTTATTATTCCTCGTGTCCGTTTTCCGTTGCTAAATATGTATTTAGCGACGGAAAATCTGCCGCTAATAACCACTATTTTTTTAAAAAAAATATTTTGAAAATTAAAAAAACCCTGTACAATATTGATAATAATTTTAAAAACCATGTTCAATCAGCAGTATAATATTCAATCACACGCATGTATCACACATATATTTCAATAAAAACAAATAAAAGTTTCCCGACATGTACATAATAAATATTGTTTATACAACACAAGAATTTTTTTTTTAAAGTTAAATTAATTACAATCAATCCTCCTGATCATCATCATCATCCTCAACACCAGCTGCATTATGACTACCCCCGGCTGCACCTTGTGAAGAAGTCCCAACCTACAAATATAAATCAAATGTTAACAAGGTTCTGTAACCGTTAATAAGAGTGTGTAAATATAAATATAATTCCCCCAACACCACAACACAACACCAAAACACCACCCTCCCCCACCACGACCAACCCCCCACAAAACCAATCACATAACGACCATCACAACTAACCAACCAACCCACCAACCAATATCACCACCACTATGCACGCACACACCATGAACACCACCATCACATAAAAACATTATAAGTATATATTTTAGGCTTTGTGTTAGGGTTTGTGTGTAACAGTTTGTATCAGTGTGTATCGGTGTGTACGATATCATTTAGTCATGAAGAAAATTCATAACTAAGTAAGAATTATATATTTAATTCATTTAATTAAAAAAGTAAAGTATATATATTATCTGATCCGACATAAACCGTCTCCTATATGCCTCCTGAGCCTCCCGAGGCAGAGTCGACATGAATTGTGTGAACTCCAATTCTCTCTGCTCCCGGTGCCTCCGTTCTTCCTCCTCAATCCGCCAATATGTTGTTTGCTGCGACTGCCAATCTTCAATCGCTTTCAACCGCTGCTCCATCGAGTCTTGATATGAATTGCTTCCTGATGTTCCTGATTGTGCTGTAGACTCGTAGGTGCTACTAGACTCGTGCGGCCTCTGCTTGGATCCTCTCCACCGGTATTTGTTCTTCCTACTCGGTCCAATGACCGTCTCGATGATGGAGTCCTCCTATTCTCTACTTAGCCAGACATGAGTGTTAGAACCGACCTGAGACTGAGACATTTGCTCCTGTACCTTGGCATGTAATTTCTCCTGTGATATATCAAAACAACCCAGGCAAGTCGACTTACTAATGATGCATTGTTATGAAATTGAATATATAAATGAACTGTTACTTACAACCAGATCCTTATTATTTGTTTTTTTCTCTTCATTGGCGTAATTCGGGCTCCAAGAAGTCAGAATACGATCTGCAAAATGCCCGAGATCTCCTGTAATGACCGTGAATTTTAATACTAGTTAAAATAATTTTCTAGTATTTTAAAATATTTAATTATTATTTATAAACGAGTATTTGTATTTTTCTCGATTTTCTATAATTTTCTATGATTTAAAAAGCTGATTATATATTTATTTAAATGATTTTAATATTTATAAATTTGTTTTGTGCGATAAAAAATTTCTAAAATTAATTTGTTGTATTATCGATACTGTTTTGTATTTTCGCAATATTTCGTATAATACTTTGTATTAATAATTATTTTTGGTATAATTGATTGCATTATTTTAACTATTACATATTATCTATCGTATTAGTATAACTAGTACGTTTTACTGCGTACGTAATTGTCCCATAATTATCTGATTTTAAATGTAAGTAAATATATTTTTATTATTAATTATTCTTGTTTAATTATACAATATGGGTATTTTTCAACTATTTCGTATCAAATATTGTATTAGCTCAACATGTACGTTTTTAATTGTAGATAATTATTATGTAATTAGTTTAATTTTTAAGTACTCAAAAGTATTTATTTTAATTATTTTAACCTAAACCCTAACCCTAATTACAATTATATATATATTATATGTTTTTCGTTTTCCCTCTACTGTTCATCATCCACGCCGCTCCTTCTTCTTCTCCCTCTCTCTTTCAACCCGCGAACCCACCACCTCACACCCAGCAACCCGAAACCGCCGCCGCTCGCCCACCAGACCTCCGACCACCGCCCTCGTCGACCGCCTGAGCGCCGCCCGTGGATCCGCCTGCACCACCGCCAAAGCCAGCGCCACCTCCAACAGCCGCACCTCCATCTTCACCACCACCTCTCGCCGCCCTGTTCGCCGCCCCGCCAACGACCAGCAGCCACACCCGAACCCAGCCTCTCCGCCTCCAGCAGCACCGCCTGTTCCTCCTCCGACCAGCCTCCCTGTCCGCCGCCCCCACGAGCTCTCGCCGCCCCACTGCAGCGACGCCCCGCCTCCTCCTCCTCTACTCCTCAGATCCACCCGCGCCGAACCACCACAGCAGCCCCGGAGCCGCGTCGCCGCCTCACGCTCAAACCCCGAGCTTCCGTCAACGCCACCGTGCCGTGCTCAGTCCCAGTCCGCCCCCTCGTCGTCGACGAGTGTCGCCGAGATCCCCGTGCCATCAGAGTCGATACGTTCGACGTACCCGAGGCAAGATCCCGATCCTTATTTAGTTTCGTTTCAATCCTTATATTTGTCATAGATTATTTATGTGCAAGATCCCGATCCTTGTTTAGTTTCATTCCGGTTCTTATATTTATTGTAGATCATTTATGTGCAAGATCCCGCTTGCTCAGAACTATTTTTCTAGTTATTATGAATTATCTGCAATATTAGATCTGTTAATATTTATCTGCGTGGGTTTGATGAATAATTTTGAATGGATAGTAATTATGGGATAAATAGTATTTTGTAGATTATTTATGTGCAAGATCCCGCTTGCTCAGAACTATTTTTCTAGTTATTATGAATTATCTGCAATATTAGATCTGTTAATATTTATCTGCGTGGGTTTGATGAATAATTTTGAATGGATAGTAATTATGGGATAAATAGTATTTTCAGGACAAATATAATAAATTAAAGAGTTTATTTTGAATAATAAAATTATTATTATATTTTTGAATTTATGTTGTGGAAGAAAATTATTTTAGAATGATAAATGTTTTCAAAGAAGTTATTTTGGTAAAAACACGACATTTCATGTACATTGACACTGACATGTTGACACTCTTATTTATACTCATTCATTGTCATATATGTATACCTGATTCATCGCTAGTCTATATAGTCATGTTCATAATATGATTTGCATAAAATAGTTATATTTATTTATTATTTCTTGCTTCGTTGATAACCGTTCATGTTCTTAGTGGCCTAGCGTATCGTGTATAGGACCTAGATACCTGTGTTTGTTGACTTAGAAAAGCGAGAAGAATTGAGATGAGGAATTCCCGGTTTAAGTGATCGGATGTGATATTATGCTTGTTGATTATTTCCAGGCTCGCACCAACGAAATTCCTGTGTAGCGTTGGGGTGGGTCTGAGGTGTCGTGATATGTGATTGTTGATTATTCCAGGCTCGCACCAACGAAATTCCTGTGTAGCGTTGGGGTGGGTCTGAGGTGATGTGATATTGTGATTGTTGATTATGTCCAGGCTCGCACCAGTGAAATTCCTGTGTAGCACTGGGGTGGGTCTGAGGGGGCAGTGAAACGATACATGTGAATGACCGGTTATTCATGAATATGAGTTTTGACTATATGTGAGAGGTAGACCAGTGACCTGTATAGGATGGTTAGTTGTGTTCTTTTCATACATAGATCGGGATTAATATTTAATTATTTACAATTTGAGACATATGGTATATACATGAGGGTTTCCTTGTTTGGATTATTTCGCTCGACGTACTACGTCTCTAGTTGTAGATTTTTAAGTATTAATTCCATCTATTGTATGATCTTGTTGCTTGGATGGTTTCTGATCGCTAGCTGCATGATCTCATTACCTGATCGATTTTGGATGCTTTATGATTATCATGTTTTAGTAGTGTTTACATGTTGATTTGTGGATTTCAGTTGTACGTTCTTTTGTTGTTTCTGTTATCGTTTCGTTTTTCGCATTGGATTTCCGTTCGTTCTATTTTTCTTTGTGGGGTCGGGTCTTGCCGTGCGTCATGCACCTGACGTACACCTGTTTTCTCTGGTGTACGTCAGAATTAGGAGAAGAACAAAATACTATAACTTGACACGGTTGTGCACTTGCAACCTTTTTGGTACATGTTTATGCCGCATCAATAGGTCAGCAATATTCTTTTTAGACTTTACAACTTTGCCTAATAGGCGTTGTATATATTTATCAAGTTATTTTATAATTAGTCCTTCATATTGTCTGACATTAGGTCCCTTTC